TGCCTCTGTCGCTGCTTCTGCCGCTGCTGGCGCTGTCGCTGTCGCTGCCATTGCTCCTGTTGTCGACTGTTGAGCCTGGCTCCTGCAGGATAACAGCCGCTATTCATTCTTAGTGTGGACGCGTCGCTTGCGTTTGTCAGTTGTGCCTGAGCTTGTGCCAGCGTCAGTCAATGAAATTTAACGTCAGCTACAGAGTTTTTCAAGTTGCGATTAGCATTTTCCAACGCTCAGCACCAAAAAATTATTTATAAAAAAAAGATAATATAAGAGAAACAACAAACTGGCTGATAATTTCGTGGTTGTGAACCTTTTTGTAGCTCTTTTGAATACGATTACAACAAATGCAACAATAAGGAAAAGTTTTAAACAATAAAAACATATTTTTTGAACAGAGTTTAATACAAAAAGGTTTCAGCCAAACAAAAGTCAAAGTGCAAAAAAAAAAAATTAAACTCCAACAAAAGTTCAAAAACAAGTTGAAGCCCGCGTGTGTCTGCGTAAGGGATTTGTTGTCGTGTGTGTGTGTGGGTGTGCATGTGTGTGCGTGTTGACTTTGTTGTTGCCACTGCAATTGATTAAACAACAGCGATTGCCTGGTTCTGGTCTGGTTACCTGGGCCAACTCAAAGTACAGAGACCAAGCAACAGAGTCTTAGCCAACACACAATGGGCTGCAACACCAGTCAGGAGCTGAAGACAAAGGACGGCGGCGCCATCGATGCTGTCAGCAATGGCGAACCGGAGCCGAGTGCACCGCAAATGGAGCTGGACGACGGTGGCGACTCCTGCGCGGTGAAATCCTCCAACAATCATACAAATCACGCAAAATCAAATTCAATTATCTCCAATGGCGATGCCAAGGCGGCAGCCGTCGCTGCCATCAGCAAAGGAGCCAGCGCGTCAACAAATGGCGTCGACCGTTCATGCGATAAGGCGGAAATCACAGAATTCAACGATGACGTCGAGGAGGAAGGTAAGGGCCAAATACTACATATCAAATACAATACGACAAATATCCCCCCACCAAAAAAAATAAAAGAAATACATTCATATTACATAGCTCTTCCGTGTGTGCGTGTGTGAGCTTCTTTTCGTATTATGTGTGTGTGTGTGTGCGTGTTACCTTCATTATTATTTATTGTATTTTGTATTTATCAACTGTGTATGACTGCGTGTGTGTGTATGTGTGGCAAATCCCTATCGCAGTGCCCCTCAATTTCATCTCTCTCTCGCTCTCTCTCTCCCTCCCTCTCTGTATCCCATTCTAATCCAATAACGCGCTTAATGGTGTCGCAAATATAAATTGCCTTAAATACATACATACATATACACAAATACACATGCGGAGAGGGCATACATGACTGCCTAATGCGCACTACACTGCACTACAGCATTACACTCTGCTACACATTCGAGCACATTTTTATACCTTATGTCCTTTGATGACTTTTGTACATTCATGACTGTGTGCCAGTGTGTGTGTGTGCAAATTGCTGTGTCCTCCGGCAAATTTGTGCAGCACTTAGCTTGGTCAAGTAGCCGCACGGTTGCCAATCTTGCGCTGACTCCGAGCCCAACATTTGCCCTAATGGGCATTACAACAGGGCATGTTTCACAGTTTATGTTATCTAATAAGCGCCACATAAATATATCTTTATGTCCGCGCTAAGAGCATAACATAAATATATTATTAACTAGAGGCATCAATTTATTGCCTAC